TTATTTCACACTGAGCAATCTTCTTTTCTGCAATTAGCCCTCTTTGCTTAAAGCGATATGAGCATTTTGTTCAGATTTGTTTTAAAATATAGCTCTTGGCTACATCTGTGTTCCTCTCACAGCTGATACTTGACAATCCGCTTCTACTGAATCACTTGATACTATATTCTTGTGTTTCATTCACTTATTTCATTTCATAGCCAAGGCCTCAACATATGTGATTGCCTGTCTTTGCCATATGACACAAGAGCATGTGCATCAGACATAGGGCTCACATTGCCACCTACTTCTGTCTCCACAAGGCCTCCTCACTTAGCAGCTCATGTGAATCAGCTCATCACTCATGGCCTCTTAAAATATAGCCTCTTCCATCAAATCAGGTCTTCTCTGATCTTCTCTGATCTTTCACAAGGTTTGTCCCCAATTACAGCTCTGCCATGCTAATAATCCTTGACTGCAGCACTCATTTGTAATAATCTCAAAATGATTTGTTTTGATTTATTTTAGTTTTTGCAACAGAACAGACTGAAGTGGATGCGTTAACATGTTTATAATCTGAAAGAGCAGCAGCATCTTTTATGATGCTGTGGGGAAAATAGGAATCAAAAGGGATAGTCCACATTTTGTTTCATTTTCCTGCCATGGCTCGGGGAATAAATAGGTCCTGTTTACACAAACCCAGAAAAAGTAATTGCAGCGTTAGTTAGATACTACAGTTGTACAGTTTGAAAATGGCATTTACTGTGGTTGGCATGGACTGCGGTGGGTATATGTTGCCCAGGGGTTTTTCATTTATAACTTGCACAACTTGACCCTTTTCCCTTTTTCCTCTCTGTAGATTATCAATTCAGTGGTATTGCTGATTCTGCTGAGTGCCCTGACTGATCCTGACCAGTACCATCTAACCAGTGCTGAATTAGGGGGTGAATTTGAATTTATGGATGATGCCAGTAAGTACGAATTGCCTGAATACTAGCACTCATTGCTTCAGTTTTATGCAACTGTCCTATCATTTCAGTAGTTACTGTCCTTTAATTATTGCTTCACCTTGTTATCTTAAAGATATTTTCATTGTGAAAGGTGTATTCATGGCAGAGTTCAAACTCATTACCTACTAGTAACCTTGTCTGCTACCTATTAGTAATCCATGTGCTCCCGGCTTGGCAGAGGCCAACCCTTGACATGGAGATGTTATCCCTGAGCATGATGCAAAAAGCCCCAGGGGACTTTTGCTAGACACAGCATGATATGGAGTCTCTGCACATCCCAGAACTGTGTCCTGAAGTGCCTGCACAGGCGTAAGAACCCATAGTGCTTCTTATGTAACTGGCTAAATATGTTCATTCATGTTGTACATATTTACACACCTCCCATGTACACATGGCAGACTTGCACAAGCCTGTTGTAATAGATGGAAGTACAAATATTAACTGCATGGTCATAAGCATATTAGAAATAACACAGGATGAATTCCTTCTCTCATCAAAGGCCATAATAGAAAATCTTCATTATAGTTTCAGGGCAGAGTGAAGTAGGCCATTTATGTCTCCTGAAAAAACTTCCTATCCATTGCAAATGTCTTTTTCTTCCATGACTGTTTCAGATTATTTGCTGATGTTTGGTCTGTTGATTTGCTTTAACCATTTAATTTGTATCCAGAAAAGTTCTCCTTCAATGTGATTTTGATATTTTCATTTCTGCTCTCAAGATTGTTACATTCAACATTTCTCACAGTAATATGAAACAAGGTCTTCTGCTAATTACACTGGTGTCTTCCTGCTCAGAATCACACCCATCCACAGCAAAAGGCTCTAAGTCCTTCAGTAAGAATATCAGTAAGAAAAGGAATGGCCCCACACATGAGAAAAATAATTGCACCCATAGTGGGTCAGAGCTGCTGGGTATTAGTTAAGGGATGCTTATTTCCACAAGGTCTTTATTGCAGATATGTCTAATTCAATTTATTAGAGGGCAGTTGCTACTTTATTGTGTCTTCATTGAAAAACCACCTACAATTTCCAACTAAAAATCTTTTTATATAACTGGATTTAAGAAAGTAAGGACCATAGCAGATACAGATGGGCTCCTAGCTGATTCTGACATATTAAAACTGACTGCCTTGTCCTAATTCTCAGAGATTAACCTTGGTAATGACTGTCTGTCAGTGTGGTTTTATATAGCCGACATCAGAGGCCTGCCAGTGCCCAAGGCTTTAAAATTGTAATTCTGTTTTGTAATGCAATAGCTGTCAGATCAAGTACGTTGGGGATTTCCAGCTACACTTGAAAATTTTATTTTCTATATTATTTTTTATCGAGGCTTCCGAAGTGAACCCTGCAAGACTGTAAAAGGATGGCTTGTGGGCCAAGTGACCTCATTTCTATTTGGTAAAGAGAACATTCCACAGGCGGTTAAATTATGAATGAACATTTGAATTAATGTCTCCTTTTATTTTTTGCCCCCCCCCCCCCCCCCGTTTTAATGCCTTACTGAGTAAAAGCAGCTGAATCAAGCGACTGGCTTTTATAGTTACTGGAAATAGCTGGCAGGAGATAATTTTGTTCTTTTTCAAGTATAACTATATTTGTTCAAATCTGCAGAAATGCTTTCTGATAAAAAACGGACAAACTTCCACTGTCCTACTTTTGTCTTTTTTCCAAGAGTTTCCCAGGTTAGCTGCATGTGCTGAAATTCTTAGATATGAAACCATGCGTATGAAATACAGGAAGATACATCTATTTTTATGATAATGAAGGTCCCAAAGTTGTTATCTATAGGTACTTGTGTTGACAAAAAATAATGATGGAAATATTAGTAACCATTATTACTAATTTTGATGCTCCTATCAATAGCAAGCAAAAAAATAATTACAATCGCCTGTGAAATTGTCTCTCCCTTTCCCTCCCTCCTGCTTCATAACAGAGCTGAAAATATGATCTGGAAATAAACTTATCAGCTGAGTCACAGTAGTGGAATTACAGCTAACTTGAAGTTTATGACAGATTTCTCTTGACTTCCAAGAAACCAGGATTCCCCCAGTATTTGTATTCATATTTATTTCTGGCTGTTCTCAGGCATGGTTTATGGAGAACAGTCAATTTTCTGTTTCAGCAGTGGGAAAAACTCCTGCCATGCATAGAGCCAGAGCCAGTGTAGTGTAAACTGCTTGAAAATGCCAGTGCAGCATCAGTTCTGCTAATGGCTGCTCAGCCTAAATTTCAGGATTTAGCGTGGTTCCCAGTATGTTGCCAGAGGCTCCAAAATGCCTGTTTGAATAAGGAGAGAAGGAATTTACCTCAGCACTTAAAAAGGCCTGTAGGTTATAGCTTTTCCCCTCTACTTTAGAAAAGGAAACAAGATGGGAGGGAGAAGTCTGCCAAGACCTGCCATACGGCAGATGGAGGTACTGGAAGACACCAGTGTGTGTGGTTTGGCTGGCTCTCTGAGATGTACATCTAGGAGCCAGGGAAGACGCTGGGTTTCCTCCTGTGCTGCATATTCAACTAAGCCCATTTAGTCTCATCTTTCTTTTTATTATTTCCTTAGGGCCTGAGGGAGTTTATGAACTAGAAGCTGGACTAGGAAGAAACAGAAATGTCTGAGCTGCCCAGTGTTAATACTGCTGCTGTTAAAAGACTAGTAATCTCTGGTCAGGAGATGGAAGAGCCCTATAAATTGTTTCAACTCCTCAGAGGGTTTCACCTGAACCTCCTGCTCAGCTTCTCTGGATTCTGACATGCCAACAGCCCAAACAAGCAGTGAATGTTGCTTAGTTATACTTACTGCCGTCACAGTTTCACACATGTGTGTGATACTTCATAAGCCATATGAAAAGGACTGAAATCCAATGTGTGCCCTATCCTATGTGTGCCCTATAGAAACTGAGGGGAACTTTGACACTGATGTCAGCAGCTGAGGCCAAAATCCACCCGTGTCCCTGCCCAGGCAGGTAAGACAAGCAGAGGTTGCAGGGCAAGGTAATGTGATGGTCTCTCTGCTGCATGTGACATGCATCCAGGGCTTAAAAAGATTAATCAAAGCAGATAAATTTAATAAGGAACCTACAAACAGGAGGCCTGGACTTGTGCTGGGGGTTAAATGGAAGTGGTAGAGGAGGTACCCTTCCTGCCCCAATCCATCACCACTACCCAGGTAGCATGAGCCCTATGTCACACACACAGGGAGGGGAAAAAAACTAATTCCATGCTCCAGTGTAACATGTTCAGGGCTGCATCTTCCTCTCTAGCTGTATCCCCTGGAGTAAACAAGCTGGGTTCAAAGGTGCAGCAAACCCTTTCCTTCTCATTGGCCTCCTTCCTTTGCTGGAGAGAAAATGCCACCGCCACACAGGTTGTGACCCAGGAGGCTGCAGGGTGGCTGGCAGCAGCAGGACTGAGCTTGCACAAGCAGTCTGGAGGAGAATGAGGCAGTATTCCTTAGCTGGCAGTAAGGAGGCCAGGCTGCTGGATAAGTAAGGCTAGGAAGGTGGGCAAGACTGCCTGAGGATTGTAGGCTGGTGATCAGCAGCTTTCTAGCCCCTGCTGTTGGAGCTGTGAGCCAGTGATTAACTCCAGGGCTAGGGCAGTTGACGAGCTGGAGGATTCGAGGTCTCCATCACTCCACACAGGTCCTGGCTCAGGGACTGGCCTCGCTGGCTGCTCCTCTCTGTCCCCACAGCACCCACCACCAGCCATCTCTAGACAAGGAAAGCGTAAGGCAAGGAAATGCTTGTGAGATGGGTTTGAGGGAGCTCCAGTTGCAGAGCTTGCTGTGCACAAAAGCACCCCATGGCAGCAGCTCTGCCCAGCCCCAATGTGGTAGGAAGGATCTCACTGCAAGGTATAAAAGGAAAAAACCCACCCCAAATGTTTTCTTTAAATCCAAGCAGAAAACTCAAAAACTGTCTAGGACAAGAGGCTGTATAACCATTGCAGTGGTCCAAGTACAGCCCTTCTAGCCGTAAGTGCAACAGACAGTACAGCATGGCTAGAAATCACACACCTCTGTTAGCTTCTCAATTAATGTGCTATGTATCTAGTTTTGTTCTGATCAACTGAAGCTGACACAAATCAAAAACCCAATGAAGCCTTAAATGAGAAAGAACCAGCTTAAGCCAACTAGGATTTGGCACAGCAGAGCACAGCTAGAGGGACAGTGGGGATGGAGAACATGAATATGTCAGACCAGAGCCTCAATGTCAAGTTTACTGCAGTTTGCTAGGTGCTGGCTCTGAAGCAGTACTGCTGTGGTCACAAGCAGGGTGAGGTCTGTGACTGCTGCATCTGCTGCAAATGACAATGACAGCAGCTTGGGTACAGTGAGTAGGTGGCTGGGATTAAGAAGGGACAGAATAAATACATGAGCAGTGCCTTCAAACTGGTGGTTAGAATGACAATATTGATCCAAAGAGCCTCTTTTACAGGTGGTTCAGTTGAGGTTGGTGGCTACAAGCAGCTATTTCCACTTCTCTCCTTTTCTTTCGTTACCGCAATTGTACTTGGTCTATTCAAAATCGTTTTGATTTCACAGGATGTATGTGGGTAACCAGAGTAAAAGACCACACAGTTATGTGAAGAGGCTTCAGTACTTTTAATTGATACAGGTTTCTTTTGTGGGTGCTTTTTCCTCTTGAGGGCAGAATTTAGATCACCTCTAACAAGCACAGCACATCCTTACAGCTCCTAAAAAGATGGAGACTGGTTATGGCAATGCAGTTCAGATGCCTGTGCTGGATTGTCTAGATTCTCTACGCAGTCAAAGAGGAGAAGGAAGTGTCAGTGAAGAGCAATTTGGGATGAAGAGCATTTTGGGATACACTGAGATGCTATCCCCTCCTGAATTACGAGCAGGGAGCCCAGCTGCCTCTTAATGGCCTTTCCAAGCACCCACAAGCCAAGCTGCATAAAGCCACCAGGTAGGAAACTGGGTGCAGGGGTGTAGCTAACCTCAGCACTGAGTGCTGATGCCTCTCCTGGGTGAGACCTGCTACTTTTGACCATAAGACAAACATTCAAGCAAATAAGGTCATCTGGACTTCAGGCCCTCATCAGACTACAGTGATTTAAATGTGCTCCTCCAGGAGCCCAAGAAAGGGGCCCCATCCATTAAATTAGGAAGTAGCGCACAATAGGGCTTCTTCTGTTTCATTTGAGTCCCTATACAAGGACAAAATCTAGGGGCAAGAGAGAGAGAGCAAGAGGCCTGAAACCCAGACACAGGAAGTGTCTTGGAAAAGAGGAGACCTAGGTACCTTGTTTCTTGATCCTGCTATTGGTAGGCATGGTTCACGAGGAGCCTGTAGCCTAACATACATGTTATGCTGGATGATGCCCTTGCCAGCCAACAGTCTCTTCCTGCTCATTTTTCTGCCAGCTTCACAAGTCTCAGGATCCTCCCTTCATCAAGGGCCAGCAGAAATCTGGTTTAGTGCTGGTAGAAGCTGTAAGACAGAGCAAGGTTTGTGTAACCTCAGGCAGAGGGGGATCAAAGTCTAGCTCCTTTACTTTTCTACATGCATAATTGTACTGGTAGGCTGGAAAAAATGACAGACAGGACTTAGGGTCTAACCCTCCTCTTCAGCCATAAGCTGGTGAACCTGCACTGCTGCCTGGTAGGTCCACAGCTACCAGATCTGGACATTCGATGGAACTTTGATGAAGGTTTCAGGGCACCTGCTCAGAACCTCATTTTGATGTAGCCAGAGAGGTGGAAGGACTGTCCCATGCTGTGGGATGCTCCTCATCATGTGCTGGATTGGATGTTGTGTCAACTCTGTGATCAAATGGAGGTATCTTCACACTTTGAATGCCTCCAAAGTCAGGCAGTGATGGGTAGTGAACAGCCTGAACATTGTCATGTATTTGTGCGTCTCAAATCCACCACAGGTCTCACAAGGCAGGTAGTTTAAACGCACCTGGTGGCAACAGTGTGAACAGCATGTTCCTCACAGGTACCGGGAGAGGTGGGATCTCCAAAGTGATGTCCTCTGTACCTCAAATCCTCTCTCCTCTTTGTGCACTGGTTTAGCCTCAGAAAAGTAGTTGCAATGTTCAGTTGCGTTCTTAAGCTCAGGTTGGACTCAGAAATATACTTTCAGTATTCTGGCTATGGCCTGTAATAATGATATCAATGATATATGAAAAGATAAAACATACATTATTTTTTCCCCCAGCATCTCCTTCCAGCAATTTGTGGCTTAGGAACTTCCTGTATCTAATGAAAAGTTCAGTGAAAGCTGAGCAGCAATAGAAGAAAAAAATAGAGTCCTGTAATTACTCCAGCCAAAACCTTAAAGAATCTTTTCCTTCCTCTACTACTTCACCTTTCCTGACAGTTACACATCTTCATTAATAAACTGTATATCTCTGTAGTATTCTTGGTTGAAATAGAAATTTCCAAGATGTTATTTCTGCTCTACCTCTGCCTCTACCTTTTCCAGAGTTCTTAGAAATATGCAAGCAAAGATACACAGCAGCTACTAGTACAAAACCAATCTGTAGCATGGGAAAGCGGACACTTTCTGACTACAGATGTCGTCATCACCAGCAAAATAGTTTTCTTGTCAAGACTGCTGCTGATTTTTTTTTTTTAAATCTTCAGAAAAAACAAACCATTCATGGCATCTCCACAACCTCAGAGAGGCTGCAGAGTCTTGCACAGTGTAATCACTGTCTGTGCTTCTCATAAGAGCCACAGATTTCCTCCAGCAATGGCTTAATATGCACCTGACTCCCATCTCCACCTGCTTTCAACCCTGCTCTTTATGATGCTCTGCATCAGGTAGAGGGCAAAATAACTTAACCAAGCTCTGAATTTATCTGCAATCATTTTGATGTGTTTCTCTTCCAGATATGTGCATTGCCACAGCAATTTCTCTTCTTATGATTCTGATCTGTGCAATGGCTACATATGGCGCATATAAGGTAATTCATTATATTTGATGAAGACCTGAATCAAGTGAAATGTAAAACCCTGTAGAAACAAAATTAAGAAAATTGCTTTCTAATGATGTCTTGCTTAGTTGTTTAGCTCAAAACTGAGAGGGGAAAAAAAAGTCAAAGAGGCAGCAGAACTGATTGATTAGATTGAGGGTATCCCAGGGCCCTCTGCTGCAGGCAGGAAGAGTGCCCAGTTGTGTTGAGTGGCTGCAGTTTCAAATATCAGTAAGCTCTGGGCAAACTGGGAATTCAGAGAACTGAATCTTGTACCTACCAAAGTTGAGGGATGATTTTCCCCATTCACCTGCCAAGCCTGTGCTTTGTCTCAGTATTATTCCTATTGATTAGGAGAGAAAAGTATCATGTGGTTTCTAAATATCCTAGTATAATGAGTTGTGGGCTTACACCACACATATTACTGCAGTTCAGCAGCCAAACTGGATTGGCCAACCTTTTTGGCTGAATACCCTATTTCTTTTAGCTGATCTAACACTGCATTGTGTCAAATATTCCTTACAGTTTAGTGCAGAAAGACATAATATCCTTCTATTTTAACTTGTGGCTGTTTTTATTTCCTTTTTAGCAACATGCAGCTTGGATCATCCCTTTCTTCTGTTACCAGATCTTTGACTTTGCTCTCAACACGTTGGTTGCCATCAGTGTACTCGTCTATCCCAGCACAATTCAGGACTACCTCCACCAGCTGGTAAATCACTCGATGTTCACAAGCCTTTAAGGTGGGGGGAAGGGGGGAGAAATGTGCAACGTGCACTGTTTGTCCTCTATTTCTAGCCCACGATTTGCTGTTGACTTACTATGCAGTCCTTGAAAGTCCTCTCAGCCCTTGCTGTTGTGTGTTCAAGAGCCCTTGCAAGGTTACATTACTAGCTTATTACAATATTTGGGCAGACCTCTGGAGTTCTGCAATATCGTGGAAGCTCTCAACACCACTTCATTTAGAATGAGACTCATATTGCGAGATATAGATAATAAATAATTGCTTTTGGATTTAGAGTTATTGTGTTCCTATACATAGCTTATTTTTGGTACTATTTCAAGGATGTTTTCTTGCTCCTTTTAATTCATTTTGTGGCTTTAATGCAGATTTCATTAGGCAGGAGTTCAATTCAATGTAGGTTTGGTTTTGCTAAAAAATACGTTTGGATCCTGTCTTAGGGACAACCAGAGGCTCCCTTATTGCTGTGGTCTGCTTTGGCCAAACGTCCATAGCCGTTGTGTAGACTTACAGGGTATGATTATAATCACCTAAAGTAAAGACAAGAGCCCGTGACCCTCTGTCTCATCACAGGATTACATGCCATGTCCAGCAGGGTTCAGGTGGAGCAGGAGATCTCTTGAGAAGCCAACACTGCAGCTGTCTCTGAAAATCTGCCTTGAAAACCTGAATATAGATTATCTTGGCTGTGAACTTTGTTATGTGGGTGGAAAAATAGTTAGGGCAGTATAAAAGGTGTTCCACAGGTGTTCCCCAGGGCTCAGTACTGGGGCCAGTCCTATTAGTATCTTTATCAATGACCTGGACAAGGAGATCGGTTGCATGCTCAGTAAGTTTGCAGCTGACACAAAGCTGCGTGGGAGTGGGCTTGAGGGTAGGAATACTTTGCAGAGGTGTCTGGACAGGCTGCATGGATGGGCTGTGGCCAATTGTATGAGGTTCAACAAGGCAAAGTGCTGGGTCCTGCACTTGGGCCACAACAACCCCATGCAATGCTACAGGCTTGGGGAAGAGTGGCTGGAAAGCTGCTCAGTGGAAAAGTACCTGGGGGTGCTGATTGACAGAGCTGAACATAAGCCATCAGTGTGCCCAGGTGGCCAAGAAGGCCAAAGGCTTCCTGGCCTGTTATCAGCAATAGTGTGGCAGCAGGGCCAGGGAAGTGATTGTCAGCCTGTACTTGGCACTGGTGAGGCTGCATCTGGGCTCCTCACCACAAGAGACATTGAGGTGCTGGAGCGGGTCCAGAGAAGGGCAACAAAAGCTGGTGGTGGGTCAAGAGCACAAGTGTTATGAGGAATGGCTGAGGGAACTGGGGTTGTTTAGCCTGAGAAAAGGAGGCCTAGGAGGGACCTTATTGCTCTCTACAACTGCCTGAAAGGAGCTTGTAGTGAGGTGAGTGTTGGTCTCTTTTCCCAAGTAACAAGTGACAGGAAAAGAGGAAATGGCATCAAGTTGTGCCGTGGGAGGTTTAGGTTTGGTACTGGGAAAAATTTCTTCACTGGAAGGGTTTTCAAACACTGGAACAGGCTGCACAAGGAAGTGGTGGAGTCACCATCCCTGGAGGTATTTAAAAGACGTGTAGATGTGGCACGCACTTAAGAACATGGTTTAGTGGTGGACTTGGCAGTACTAGGTTAGCGGTTGGATTCAATGATCTTAAAGGTCTTTCCAGCCTAAATAGTTCTGTGATTCTATGAATAATAGATAATAAGAAACAGCAAGCAGATAAGTAGCCACACAGATCTGCTAGAAGAGGCAATGTGTCAAGCCAGAGGGAGCTGGGATGTGTCAGAAGCCTGTTATGCTTCACCAACACTCACCTGCATTCACAGCTGCTGGTACACTGGAAGAGCAGCAGAGGAATAATTCAAAAGGTTCTCAGAGATATGAGTGGAAAAGAGCAAATTATGGCATCTTGTCAAGTGCTTGAAGCTGGCACTGCCACTGGCTGGAGCCCTTCAGCCCATCATTTGCCTGCAGTTCCTTTCTTCTGCATCAGTGCCAGCCCTGCTCCTGTGGCAGCACAAGCATGTATTTGGCTGCAGGAATTCTCCCCTCTTCAGAGCAGGAGTTGTAACCAGGTTTTACTCAGTCTTGGTCACTGTGGGAGAACATGAGGGGTGCAGGAGCAGGCTGGGAGCTACACACCAAAAAGCCCCTGCTCTTCTGCTGAAAACCTAGTGCTACATCTAAAGCTGGCTTACTAGAAGGGCAAAAAGCATCTGATTCGTCTGCTAAACATCACTGTTGTTCCTGCAGATAGAAGAAATAATAGGCCCTTCTGTAGCAGGCTTGGAAGGTATTTGGAACAGTTCAGCAGAGCACAGCGTGAGCCACATTGCTGCTCTGGAGCATTAAAATCTCTGGTTGCACAGATCTCTGTCTCGCTGTTGTAAATCATTTTCTGGACTGGTAATGAAGTGCCGCAAGACTTCAGGAGCACTAAGCTGTCAGTGCTCAAAAGGGCAAGGGGGATTTCCAGGATAATTATAGGCTGATTAGCCTGACATTGCTACCAAGCAGAATAGTAAACAGGAGGGCTGAGAGGAAAGTCAATTGGTAGAGGATTAGACTGGAGGAATATGATTAATGGTTGCCAACATGGTTTCATGGAAAATCAGTCCTGCAGGCAAACTCATTTTCTTTCACTGACAGGATTACTGTCTTTGTCAATAAAGATGGGCAGGGGCATAATAGACTTCCATAAGACATTTGACATTGCAGCATGATGTTCAAAGCAACAATAAAACACTAGATCGATAAAGGATGTATCAGATGGATTAGGAAAGTTTAGCTGGCAGACTGCAATGGGTTATGGTCAAGCTGACCATCTGCCAAAGAGTTTCTGTTTTGGGTAGAGGAAGGTCTCCAGGAATCGGCAGTAGGTTTCATGCTCTTCCTGACTTCCATTAATAAAGTTGATACCAAACAGGCAGTTCACAAAGGCTAACGTCAGCCTTGGGAGAGCTTCCCCAGGCTCATTGTCTAGAGCAATCGAATTCTCTAGCTGGAGATTGCAAGCAGGAGCCTAATCTAATTGTTCTGTGTCATCCTCTGAAAGACCCTATCCCTACATTGCCCAAAGTGAGCACATTGGCATTTCACAGAGGCTGTACTTGTGACTTTTCCCAGCAAAATCACTTCTAATATAACCCATGGCTGACACAGAGATTAATGACAAAGTAAATAAGAGTATGGGCAGAGCCATTAATCAGTGAGTTAGAGTGACTGAGAGCCCGAGTTCAGTCACTAATGGGTGCTACACTGCTAAAAGCAAAGAAATGTGAAAACACGAGGAATACGGATGAGCATGCTATGGCAACTGTACCTGGGATGCAGTGACCCTGTAAGTAGTCTAGGGAACTGAGTGTCAAAACAAGAGTACCCAGATTTTTTTTTTTTTTTGCTTTTTCCAGAAACCATTCATAGTATTTGTGGACAGATAAAAACCAGCAATTAATAGTAATAGAGAGGAGACTTCCTTTCTCACTTGGTGACATAGGTTTCATCTGTCTGTTTATGGTGTCTGTTTACAAAACAATGCTTAAAAGTTAGCGAACATTTAGAAAAGTTCCTCAAAAAACTTTATAAAATCTGGATACATTGAAGTATGATGAGAGACAGTCAGCTTTTCCTGCTTCCTTTACTGAGAAAGGTGACCAAGAGGTGGTGCCATTAGAGTTTTCGTATGCAGAATAATGAGGCATTAAAAGGCTGTTTAAATTAGATGTGAGGCACAGTGAGTAGCTAAAACCTAGTCCAAATTAAGTTCATTTAGAAACAAGAAGTTTCTATTTTACCATTCACAGTGGAGATTAGTGATTGGCAAAAACTAACAAGAGCTGTAATGAATTTTGTACAGTTAATGTCACCTGTTAACAAAGTTTTGAAGCTGTTCTGCAGCTGCTTTGAAGCTGTTTATGCCTCCTGTGTCTTGGCTGTGGTCCCAAGCACAAGCAGCTCAGCAGGAACCCCTCATACTCTTACCTGGAAGGGCCACATCAGTTGGCAGAAGGTTGTTGTGTTTGGTTCAGAAGAAATACACTGTGTCTGAGGGGGAAAAGCAAAAGGGAGAGAAGATCAAATTCACCAGTATCGGATACTCACACACACAATGAGATGAAGCTAAAACCAAGCTTTTCAAACTTTTAGCAGTAATGCTGTCATTGTAGTCCTAGCACTCAAACATTGTTAAATGAACAGGCTTGTACCCATGAACTTGTTTCCCTACCTTTTAATAATGCTTATGGTAGATAAGTTTGGCATCTGAAACACCATGTTTAGAACAAGATTGCAGTCAATACCTTTGTACCCATAGGTGAGACCTGAGTCATGCCAGCTGGGTGTGATCCTTCCTGATGATTTATAAATAAGCCCTAGAGTCAGCTTGGCCTCACCCCCTTTGCAGAGGTCTGCCAAGGCAGGCAGAAAACAAGGGTTGTATTTCTTCCTGGCATTCATATAGTTTTTGTTCCTCTAAAACTGCTTTGAATTTGGTGCATGGTATTTTAGGGAGCACAGCTCCATAAGGGAAATGAAAAATCCTGACAGTTTTTCAAATCTATTATTGAATATCTGGAAGAAGGTATGCATTATGTGATGGAATATATTTGGCAGTCTTAGAAGAACATTTCTTTCTTGCTCAAAGGTGAAAACCCCATGTGTTTAACAGTTTCTACTTCCCTATGTTAGTGTTTGGGATTATGTTATCTATTCACTTTGGTGCACATCTCCTAGATTTCAGTCTGTCAGTGATGAGTTACAAGCTGCTTTCAAACCCTCCATGTACTTTTAGCAAGATGATAAATAAGTACCTATCAGTAGGTGAGGCAGAGCCCTAGCTGCAAATGTTGCAATTGTAAAATACAGAACATTGTGTTCACAGGGTATGTGGTAATGTCAGCCTATACTGGCTGCTGATTTCAGAGGCACAACTGTCTTTGGAAACTTTTTGTTGCCTTTTAATATCCAATTGAACACAGGTGTGCCACCTAATTCCCATAAATTGCAAAAGCATCTCAGCATGAAGAGTCATGTAAAATAAGTAGATGTTATAAACTTATAAACCTCACGTTTGAAATGTGTGGCGATGATGTGGTGAAACTTTCTGAGGGTTATGTTGGACATCTTGGTCATTATCACTGTCACTAGAAAAACAAAAACCTTCACACATGGTAAATCCAGATTGTGTAAATCAAAAATGATTTTGCTTCCTGCAGCAGTAATGATCTAAAGCAGTTTGACTTAAAGCACATTTCTTTAGCGACACTAGATCTTTGATATATGGGCTTTCTAAAGTCTCTAAATTAAACACTTCACCTTCTGTCAACTGATAACAGTATTTGAAATGAATTGAAGCAGAGGTGCAGAACAGGTGAATCTGCAACCGAGTAATGCAAACTTGGTTTTTATTACAGTACAGGCCTATGACAGTTCATCTAAAGAAAATTTTAGAGTATAATAAATAGCTTTTCTACGGGACTGCCTCCAGTGTTACTGTTTAACAATTCAGGTGGTTTCAGTCATGCTTTTAAATCCTAGGGGAAATATCTAGAGAATGTGAAAGACATTAAACCTAAAGAAATGTTTCCTATAAACTAAAGCTTAAATAAGGAATATCCTTTCTGACATTCTTAATACCATTTTATAATTCCAAAGGAGTCCTACTAACTTCTAGCAGAGCTTTAAAAGTTCTGCAGACACATTACCATTTTCTTTAGGGTTTGTAAGATGCAAATACTCAGAGGATTGTAACTGCTGAATGAGAATCTGTACCATCTTTTTAAATGGATTTTTGTGGTCCAAGGGAAGAAAAGCATTATGCAAGCAGGCTGAGGGAATGACAAAGTGCTTCAGCCTTGAACTTTCCTTCTTGTGCATTTCTACAATATTGATGCAGTAGAAATATGATTTCCATGCAAGTTTTAGATTCTTTTTAGGTCCCTAATAGAGCTTTTTTATGTATAATTTTTTTAATGGAAAGTTTACCAGGTATATTATGCATGCTGGCCTCTTCATGTCCATGACAAGGTTATAAATGATGCTTTAATTATGAAATTAGCATGCCAGTGCCACACTACTACAACAACATCTTGTTTGTATGGGAAATTTCATCATGTCCTGCTGCAAAATCACTCCTATATTTCCAGTGAAGGGCTTGATTTTTCCTTCCCAGCTGTATTTCAGTCTTAGTTCCATCAGACCTTGCACAGGATTTGACACTGAGCTTTTCCCAGACGTCGCAGCACTGAGCCGGTGTCCAGGGCCTTCCAAGCAGCAGGATTTCAACTACTGGTCTCCCAACAGAAGAGCAAACCCTGAGCACACAGGCAGAATTTTTCTTCCCACCTCATACACCTACATCAGTGTTTAAGCTTATCACTGGAGTCAGCAGAATTCAATGGGTCTATGTTTCATCTGAACCACTGTTGGTACTCATTTTCCATGAGAGTCAATGTTATGTTCGGAGCAGTTGCTGCTATGGGAGGATCCCAAGGGTGAGCCTGGAGCCAGCCAAGATGCTTCCCACCATCTTTCCTGCTTCACAAAAGCCATAGGATTTATAAATTACTTTTCCTACTGCACTGAAGGGATCTGTGGTTGTGAGTCAAGATCAGACTGCTCATAGGCCAGCCTGGGCAAGCCAGTGTTAGGCATCTTCTGGCTGGCAGGTGCCACCAGCCGGGTTAGCAAACAAAGGGACTTTCTTCCATGTTGACCTGATGCCCTTGGGCTATTCACTGATGCTGTGAAAGCAAGGTCTCCCACACAGCAATCCAGGAAGCTCCAGGAGGGACTGCTTCAGTTTTCCAGCCTGCACCCAGAACTCCCGGACACCTGTGGTGGGGGTGACCGCTGCATGGCTGCAGCACCCGCTGCCTTGCTGGGGCTTGCTTAAACTTTGCGTCACTTCAGGACAGAGTCGCAGAGAGCAGAGCCTGAAGGGGACAAACCTCAGCATTTGTTCCTCATGTGCTCTCCTGGCTTGTGATTCTGGTGCTAAATTATTGTGCTTTCACCTGGAGCGCTGCTGCTGTAAGGAAGGCCAGGCGCTGCTCTACAGCACATGGTGCTCCTGGCTTACAGCTCATGGCTCCAGCATATGTTCCTTCTCTTCAAGGTAGCAGGAACTTTCTTGGTCATTTTCCTGCCCTCTTCTCGGCCCCATGCAAATTCCAGTTGAGCTGACATCTGGAAACAGGCCTTTCGCTTATGGCCAAGGCCCCAGCAAACAGTCATCCAGTGTTTGACTGATGACTGGTTCTCAGAAACCAGTGTGTAGGAGGACCACAGCCTCACTAGGAGTTTTTATTACGTTCACAAAATAGCTCGACTAGTTTTTTAATGGTCAGTCAGTATAAAATAATCATGTTGGAGAAGTTTCATTGTAATTGTCCTTAACTGATTAAACTTTCTAACCGCGTGCATGGCCTCCCTCCTGCAAGCAGGAGGGCAAGCTGTGGCGTTAATACTTACATTTTCTGCATATAAGGTTTGTGTTTATTTTTCAGTTCATCTTTTCTTGGCATATACTCTTGCTTTCTTCAACTCTGGGTGACCGCATCCGCTATATTTAGCTATAACCCTCTGTCAAAAAAAAAAATTAATTAAAAAAAGAAGAGCAACTTACTGAATTATACCAAGCTAATGTCTTATAAAAGCTGTAGCTCAACAAAAGATAACATGATAAAAACTCCAGCCATGAAATTCAGTACAGGAACAGAAACATTGCTGTCAAGAAGCGGAAAATGTGCTTATGTAACATTATCTGCAAACGGTTACAGCTGCTGTTGATGTTAACCACTCTGAACAGGTCATGGACACGCTAAATAAAGAGCCATTCTCACTAACAGCTGTCCACAAAAAAGAGATGATTTCCTGATTCACTGGGCTGAGTGCTGGTATAAGGGGTGTTAAGGGGTTACTCTGTATTTACATCATCATCGCCAAGAATACAGTTATAGCTTGGTCTAGTTAATTGTCCTGACAAGGATGCAGAGCTGGCCTGGTTAAGTAATTAGACCTGTAAGGGAAACGGGAGTTGTGTGTGGAAGGAGCTAATGCATTCAGTTATAATGAGCTACTGTTGCAGCAAAGCTATCTTTTGTGAACAATAGTTTATTCTAACCGAAACAGGAACTTGTGCCTTGCAATATTTCAAAGCGATTTGGAACATGCGTTTTAGAGGTTGTGTTTTCTTGAAGTAATAACAAGAACTACAAGGCAGTAAAACATCTTCAGAGGCAGTTTTTCAGCCAGTGATCTTAAAGCATTTCACAATTGTAAATCACTAGAGCCTACGCTAAGTGGGAAGATTAGTTTTGTTACCTCCATTTCATGTATGAGATAAGAGAAGGACCTGGGGCACATTTCAGTTTGAAATCATGTCATTGCTCCACTGCAGGACCCATGCCTACTTGGGGCACGCACTCAGACAGCAGCACTAACAAGTGTCCTGGAGAAGTAGTCCAAATTTAGCCAAAACAAGATGGAGCAGAATAGACCAAATGCCTTTTGATCAAATATTTAGGTGAAAGGATTGCAGTGTCCAGCTTTTCCTGCTATGATTTTCTGGAAGGAACTACCACATTGGCAACCAGTGACAGTATAATGATTACTTAATAAGTACAGGACTTGCCTGCCATTGCCCATGATGGCAGGTTTTCTGCTGCAAAGCTCCCCAAGAGATGTCCTTTGCTGGTTTGTGTCAGATACAAACCCAGTCTGCAGAGAGGAGAAGACAGCCCATGCCACATACAAAGCAAAAAGTAAATCCTCAGCCCTTCAGGAAACATTTGGCAGCTGAGCCTTCCTAGTGTGTCCCAGCCAAACTCACTGAAACTGTTTTTTGGTGTGACAAGCTCCTTATTTAGTAGATCACAGAAAGTTTTGTAAACTGTTAATTATAGAGTGCACTAATTGAATGGCTCCTGAATGACTTGTGAGATGAACTTACAGTGGTTTGCTTCTTTTTGCTTATGCAGCCCACCAATTTTCCCTACAAGGAAGAGATTATGTCTGTGAACCCTACGTGTCTGGTTGTGATTATCCTCCTGTTCATAAGTATCATTTTGGCTTTTAAGGTAAGTACATTACTGTGTATAATGTCTACTCCTGGTCCTGGATGGAATGTCCCTTGCTTGGGGGGCCTGGCTTTAGAGAGATCTGTGGAACTGCAGACCAGGCAGCCTGACAGCTCTACAAAGCATTATGGAAAAAAGGCAGAAAATCTCATAGACAAACACATGAACATATAGGCCTCAGTGGGGAAACATGATGCTGTAGGGGCAACTCATAATATAAATCCTTTGAAGGAGCAGGTTGTTCGGTGGGCAAGGGAGAGCCTGCTGATACAGACTTCTTGTTTTTTCAAAAGGTCTGTGGCAGAGTCTGTCATCAAAGGCTTTAAATACCACCCTCAGATGTGTAGGGACAAGAGGAAAGGTCATCTCACAGACCATAGCTAGGAAATAGAGAATAAGGATAAATCACTGTTTTTCACAATAGCAAGACTCATGATCATGAAAGACCTGGGAAGGGGAAGGAAATCTACATCAACACTTTTTTGCAATGTCATTCAAAACAGAGAAAACAGCCAAGAAAGCTTTGCAGAAAGAGCTCATGGCACTGAGTGACTGGGCAGTGAAGTGGCAGAGAAGCTCAGTGGTGACAAATTCCAAGTGGTGGGCACAGAGGAAGCACAGTCTTGTTTTGCAGACACTGCAGTAGACTCTGAACTGCATGACCACCTGGAAAAGGGATCTCATAGCTGTAATAGCTAGACCTGTGAAAATACTAGCTTACTGCTCAGTTCTGATCAACCAAGTAAATAAAATGCTAAGAATATTAAGAAAGGAATAGAAAAACCAGAAATCTAAAGATTTCTTTGCCAGTTTTGATGCCTACCACCTCTGGAAGTATGCGTTTACTTCTGGTGCCTTATCACAAAAAGGATGTTGTAGAGCAGGTAAATAGATCCAAACAATCCCTCCTGGGCAGGACAATGTAAAGGACTGTCACACCAGGCAGCAAAAGGACACAGGGAGTGATGATTTAGTTGCCGTTATGTAAACCTCACGGGTGAGGCTCTAGCTGTGGTAGATACCAGATAAAGGGGAGATGTAGCATCACCCAGCACAGCTGGAAAGGCCTCATGTGAAACCACTGCACCCACGTTTCTGGTCCAGCAAGGTCCATCCCCACCTGCTGTGCAGGGCAGAAGTCCAAAAGGAGCTCAGAGTAAGATCACACAAATCATCATATGAAAAATAACTACCTGTTGCTCAACAAGTCCCTGAGCCTTGGACCTCCTGCAAAGTACACTGGTACATTTGCCCTCTTCTTGCACCCTCCTGCAAGTTTCTCACAGCACAGTGCTGCCGCTCTTGTATTTCTTGTGTTGGGTTTTATTTCAGAATAGCTCTTGCTCTGTCTCTGCAGAGCAATTACGCGTTAGACTAGAGAAGTCCCGAAGAGCCACAGAGACACCAGGGATGTTGCTTCCAGACAACACATTTGACAACATGAACAGGGAAAGTTACTGTGACAAAAGAGGTAGATTAGATTATTGAAGATACTTCAAAATTGAAGGAAAAGAACCCAAAACCAACAAACAGGGTATTTTAAGGTACTGTTGGAAGTGATGTTCACTTTTTTCCTGTCATTTAGAAATATAATTTAGCCTTCTGGCTTTATGTGTTCACAGCCATATAGCTGATTTTTTTGCACCTTTAAGAAATATGAATGAATGTGATAAACATGTAGGTGTGTCAGGTGCCACAAGGGATGTGCTCTTAAATTTCTCAGATGCAAGCATTAGCTCATCTTTACTCCAGGCTGGGCTGGTATTTTGTTGACCTAAGTATGGCAGCGAAGTCCTAAGCTTATAAAGAAAAAGTGGAGCTAAAACTGGCATGGCAAAAATACTTACTACAGAAGAAAGAAACCTAAGAAATTAATAGCAAAAAAGACTAGTTTTGTTTTAAAGTGGCGAACACATGTTTTATGTTTTTTCCAAGAGTATATGTGGTTCATATAATGCTCATTCTAGTAGCATATTATCATGCAAATGAATCACAAAAAATATGACTCATGCAGAAACACATGCTAAATTATACTTAGCATTTTCATTTGAATTTCTTGTGTTCCCAGAAGAGCTGCTATGCAGATTTATGTAGTCTGCTCCATGAAAAGAAAGCTGGACACTATGAGATGCATCACACTTTATCACTGATAGACTTAACAGATGGTACCACATTTATGCATTGAAACTGAAAAGGTACTGTGAGTAAAAATATGCTTGAGCTCCCTCTCCCTCTGGAGTTCAACTAGAAATAAGGAGAGAAAACAAAACATTGTAGCCTAGGAAAAGCTACAGTAGTAAAAGCTGCATTCAGCTGGTGGGAAATACAAAACAGAATCACGTAACTCCTTAGAAACATTTGGCGTCATTATGCTTTTGTTTTGAGTGAAGCTACATGTAAAGGAAAGCACTGTTGAGCAGAAACCAAGATATAGCAGTATAATGTGATTTTGTGCTTTGCAGTAGTGGGATTTCAAAAAGGGAAGGGGGACAAGAGAGGGTAGCAAAAAAGGGAGCCAGCTAGCTACATATAAGCACTTGTCTTTTTAGTCCTTAGGATTTACTTGGATCTGAAGCAGCTAATGGATATTCCAGGTGCTTTCATGCAGAATCTTTTTCAGGGTAGACCAAAATGTGTTATGCCATTTACTGTGTTTGTTTAGAAACTGAACCAGAGTTACATACTATGAAACATATGTGTTTCCTATCTGGCTGAGGAAGGGCATCCAGCAGCACAAATGTATTTATATACATGTACACAGGATTTCAAACAGCATATGGCCAACACGGTTTTTGAGTAGTGCCTTGCTCTGCAGTCGGTTTGGAGAACAGGGGCTTCGTTTCCTCTGGCCAGTCCCAGCTGCTGAGACAGAATGATTGATGCTTCAACCTCTCCCTCCTCACCCTGGGCAAAGATCCCCAGGCCCAAATGATCTAAGCTCTGGTGAGCACAAACACAACTAGAACAGGTTTCCCTGACTACTCTGCAGCTGCAGAGTACTGGACTCTTCTTGCCATTCTTTTGCTGGAAAGGAGATAAGAAGAACTAGTTGCCAGTGGGACAGCTAAAAGGTATTCCAGTTCAGTGAGACAGGCTGGTCTTCACCAAATGGAATATTAACCCTGATCTCCATAATATGCCTATAACCTGCATGTACAAGGTGTTGAGCCTGGAGATGAGACCACTCTGCATGTTCTGGTGTCATCAGCAGATGGGAAAGGATAATGTAGAATGAAGTTCTGTGCTCACCCTGAGACTTTTCATGCCCATGGGGGATGGCTCCTGGCAGGGAGAACCCTGACCTGCAGCACATCACCCCAGTGTCTGCTACCTTCCTGCACCGATGATGGAGCAGCAGTCGGGGCACAAAAACAGCCCTACCAGCCAAGCTCTGATCCCTGCTCCCAGGGGTGGCCAACACAGAGCCATGAGATTGCTACCTGTTCTAAGAAAGCCTGGGATAGGTCCCAGTACGGGGCTTGCTGGTGGCAGAGTTCTTATAGGAGAAGCATCTCTAAAGCAAGGGTCATTTACTTTAAATCATATATGTGTATGTGTGCCTTGTGAGCCAAGAGATGATGTCCTGGCCCATAACCATTGCATGCTAGTGGTTTAACATCATTAATTCTTGCATTTCTTTACAACTGCAAAGAAATGCAAGGTTTGCAGCCTTTTTATACTCACAGGATAGTGAGAAGATAAGATTTAATTGCAGATTTCATCAGCACAGCAACCCATTGTTTTTCCTGCAGCACCAACATGTGAAATACACATGGCTGACTGGTCTGCCATTAGCATCCGTCTGAAATCTTCATATAAATTTTGTTTTGTGTAGAAATCTTTATCTCATTTTCACCAGTTACTGCAGACCAGCCCAGCTCTGTAAATAGAAAACTCACAGCAGATGGAAGAATAAAATGGGACTTGGTGCAGAAAGCTCCAAACCCAAGGGAGCTCTGTCGGGTCTGTGGCATTCACCCTGCGCTTGCTGCTAGTGAGAGAGCAGCCCAGAGGGCTGCTTTGACCCAGATAGGCAGATTTCTTGCTGTGTTACAAGAAACAGCAGGATACAGCAGCCTCTAATTTCCACAGAGATGCTGGTCAGTCATCTGGTCAGACACATGTCTGGTGAGCAGAAGTTGTGCAGTACATTACTTCGTTATGCCACTTAACAAGTGCATATGCAGTAACAACAGCAAGAGGCAGGGTTAGAACTTTTTGTGGGTTTCAGTTCCTCAGGGGTCAAGTCATTTCTCACCATTCAAAGGGGAAGACTGAAATGTAGTAGAAGCAGGCACAGTGCCTGTTTCCACATTTAGTCCTTCTTGTGCACCCTTCCTTTCACGTGGTGGCTGCTTGAGGCTGCCCCCAAAAGATGGTTGTCAGCAGCCTGTGCCGTGGTATGCGGGAACACCCGCAAGGGTGGATTAGGCTGCAGTGGTTTAATGCCTTTACACAGGACCTATTCCAAATGTGAATATTGGTCTCCTGAGAGAAAAATTGATGTATTTATATACTGCGTGTCCAGCCACACATTTTAAAGCAGTATTGGAAAGCTCAGCCAAGTTTTTCAGGAAAAAATTGGTAACTGAGTCAGCAATCCCATATAACGGTGCAGCAGCATCATTAGAAAACAATGATTAGGAACAAGTTTAAAGAAGAAGTTACAGGTTGAGGAAAATGAGTTTCCATGACTCATGATTTGCAGGCCAAAGCCCTTGGACAAGTACATGCTCCAAAAGCTGCTGCAGCTCGCAGCTGTATGTGGGTCACTGTCTCGGAGCCAATTAACTTGGTGTGTGCTGGTTAATGACCTCTTTAATTCAAGGGCTGGAACGGACCTCACCCACTGAGAAACAACCCGTGCATGCAGGATCAGGGCTGATTAGAGCTAGGGCTCAGAGCTGGAAGAGCTGTAGGAGTTCTCTGTGGGGTTAAATGTGTTTTATTCACCACATGTAATGGAATTGGAGCATTTAAAAATAAATCTCCTGCTAGCGTCTCCCAGATAAGACTGTATTATCTGAAATGGGGCTTCCCTCAGTTTGGATTTTGACAGGAGTATAGAAATTGGCCTGCAAATAGGGTAGGCTTAATGTAAAGGGTGTCTTACAAAGTCAGGCTATATCCCCACAGAAGATTACTGTATTCAGTCTCTGTTCTGTACTAGTTCTCATGCCTTTCTTAGCACATAGTATCTGAGCATTGAAAGCTACTGAACAACTTATTGCTATCTATAATTAACAATGGCATTTTATTTAATTCTGTAAAAGATGCAGTTTTCCATGCATATGCCTTTGCTCCACTTGTTTCAGTAGCCTGGGGCAGGTTTTAGTACCTTACACTGTAGAGTCAGTCTCACCTTCTCTTTGGGACTCTGCTGCTCCAGAAGCCTTTTGCTCTCCCCATTTGATGGTCAGAAGTACTAGGAAGTCTGCAACACCTCCAAGTCACCCAGGCTCTGTGAGATGCCTTAGAGAAGAGGAAGCAAACTTACTGGATTTCAGCCAGCTCAGCCCTGGCTGAAAAACCTTCCTGATCTGCAAGCGAGCCATCAGTGAGTCATGTGGCATCCTGAAAAACACAGCTCATGTGTGACAGCTCTGGAGAGGGAGGAAGCACGGGGCAGCTCAAAAGGATAAGAGGCTTTAGGAAGGTCATCAGTGCAAGTGAGTCATAGAAGTATGACTCACTCAGTGAGGCACAGATGCAAATCCAATCGGCGCTGGCAGTTTAATTTGCACACGCTATGTGTGCTGTGCAGAACCTACTGAATAAAAATATAAGCTGGGCACTAGGAGGTTTTTCTCCTCACCACTGTCATGTGTGACTACATGGGAAGCAGAGAGCTCCAGAGGGATCTGCTTATTCCCACCAGCCTTGTCCCTGGCATGCTGAAAATCTGATTCCTGCTCCTCCACATGTGTTACTGCCTCCTGCCTTTCTTCCAGTCACTTTGCACACCTCTGCTGGCCAAACTGGAATCTCTCCTGCTGGTGAAGGAGATGATGGACATGAGCACTTCGCCCAACCAGTTCCAAAATAAGTGGAGACAGCTAGTTGTTTGGCAGGGAGCAGCCACACCCAGAGCCAAGCGAGCTCCAAGAACAAAACCAGTGGAGTTTACGATTCTGTGGTAGGAGTATTGCTACAATAGCAGTTTGTTTTGCTTTATACTGAAAAAAAAGGAGAATAATTTGTAATAGTGGTTAAAAGGTTAGAAATAATGTCAGATTTCAATTAAAACTTTAACACAGGCATGTTCCTCTAGACAGGCAAGAATAGGAAGACCCCTGACATTCCAATCATATAGAATACATTGATTTAATGTCAGATTAAGTGAAACAGAGTATTAGAACAATCAGCTGATATATAGGATCATCACAAAATCATTGGCCAGGTCAGGTCAGGCCAGGCCAGAAGACAAGGAGGGTTTCCTGTAATTTGCTGGGTGATTCTTCAGTCCCCAGCATGCTTGTGCTCTTTTTAGTGGGGTTTGCTTCCAGTTTCTAATACCGTTAACCCCCAGTTGATGATATTTAAACATCCTTCCCCTGGAGGAATTCAAAACTGATTTCTGTTCACTTTTTGCTGCTGTTCCTGAGAATTCTGCATCTGCAGTACCACCTCTTTTGCCACAGTCTAACTTGTGCCTTCATTTTATGTAGTAAAACTCACCCCTGACAGTATGCAGTGTCCCATGCACAGTAACGCAGTGCCTGACTGAACTCATCTCTGTGTTTCTGGAAAGGTGTAAGAAAGAAAGACAGCATATGTGACCTGCTCATTTAAGGAAAATGGGGGTTATATACACAAAATGATGTTACTTTAGCTATATTCAGGACCAAAGAAACCTCTTCTTTTCAAATCGATTGGTCTACCTGAAGAATATTACTACTACCTGTAATATCAAATATCTGGAATAGTAAATTTCATTCAGGTAGGTCTAGGCTGCTGCATCTCTGCCTAGATGGAGCAGCTCATAGTGCAACACAAGTATCAATAACCACAGAACCATATAATCACAGAATGGCTTGGGTTGCAAGGGACTTTTAAAGGTCATCTAGTGCACCCCTCTGCTGTGGGCAGGGACACCTTCCGCTAGATCAGGTTGCTCAAAGCCCCATCCAGCCTGGCTGTGAACACTTCCAGGGATGGGGCATCCACAACTTCTCTGGGCACTGTGCCAGTGTCTCACCACCCTCACTGTAAAAAGTTTAGTCCTTTTGTCCAGTCTAAACCTTTTCAGTTTAAAAGCATTGCCCCTTGTCCTGAA